GTGTGTATATATGTATGTATGATCAAGCAGAAGTGAGACAGATACTTCTTAGTCTAAGACCTGTGATTAACTGAAAGATTTTAAAATCAATCATAATTATAAAAAATAATTATCAGTATTTTCATCAGTTATATAACTTTAAACCCCATGTTATAGAAGCACAAATCTTCTGTATATCATGAAAAGCTTAATAATTTAATTCCTTACAACTGATCCTTAGCTAGTCCTCAAACTCACTGTCACTGTGTAGATATTTTTTTTCTTTTTAAAGAATGTTTATTTATTCCATAGTTGGGGAATTTCTTTTATTCTTCCCATTATTAATTGGGAATTGATGCATATATAATTCCACAGTTCAATCACATCTGACAAGATGGTGCATTTACTACCGTAATCAGCTTCCAAGCACTTCTTTTTCACATGAGCTCCTTGACATCGTCTCACCTTCCCCTCACCACCACTGTATAGATTTTGACTGAGAGCAACCCTACAGGGCAGATTACAACTGTCCCTGGTAGATTTCTGAAGCTATAAATCATTACAGGAGCAGAAAGCCTCATTTTTCTCCTGTGGAGCAGTTGGTGGGTTTGAACTGCTGATTTTTTTTACTAGCAGACCAACGTGTAAGCTAACTAGGCTGCCGGGACTCCTATAACCAGCCCAGTGCCATAATTCCAGAAGTACCCATTCACTTCACATTTATAGAGGAATTTTAAAACAACACTATTAAAAACTCCCTAAAATTAAAATTAATGTTTAACTTTACTATAGCAAAAATGAGTCTCTTTTATGTTGGTGAAATTGTCAAAAATAAATTAATTTATTTTAAAAATTAGTATAATAAATAGAAACATTAGGAATAATGCAATATCAAATATATAGGAAAGCAAACCACGCTTATGTTAGAAAAACAATGACTAAAGAAAACATGAGGAGCCCTGGTGGTGTTGTGGTAATGCTTTGGGCTTCTAACCACAAGGTCAACAGCTTGAAACCACCAGCCACTCTGCAGGCGAAACATGAGGCTTTCCACTCTCATAAAGAGTTAGCATCTCGAAAACCCGCAGGGGCAGTTCTCTGTCCTATAGGGCCACTATGAGCCAGAATTAACTCGCTGGCAATGAGTTTTTAAAGACAACATGCACATAATGGTAAAAAAGCTACTGTCACTAATTTTCAGAGAGGCTTTTATTCAGTTTTTTTTCAGAATTGCACTTAAAATTATTTTAACTTATTTATTTTACTACCATAGTACTAAAACATAAAGACATATTTTAAATCAGAACAAACAAAATGCTAAGAGAAGATAAAGTCAACTAGATTTCCAACTTTTTATTTCGTGTGACAGCAAACAATTCCAAGGATATTTTCTAAGATTCAATCAATAAATATATTTTTAAATCCCAGTATCCTAATACTGAAAAAGCCTATACTTGAAGTAAAAAAGGCAGCTTTCCAATGTCATGGTTTTAATAAAGATAAGTTGGTAGACTGCATAAAGATATTGATCCCAAATGCCTTTACATTTAGGGATATATTTTACAGAAGATTTACTTTTCAATTTGCATTCTACTTAGTATAATATTAATCCAATATGGAAACAAATTGCTATAATGAAATCTTCATCATCTAACAGAATGTCATCATCTGATAATGAGAATTCTAATCTTCCTTTGTGTAAGAAATGTTTATAAAGAAAGTGTAGAAATATACTGATGTTAAGCATCTTCATTAAATATAATGGAGATTTATCATAATTAAAACATTAAAGCTAAAACATTTTTAAAGCTAAATCATTTTTAATTTTTTAAAAATTTAACACATAGAGCTTGACACATAATGAGAGAGAGAATAAGGCTTGTCAGTAATGATGAAGACTGAATAAAGAGCTTATGGCTAGAAAGACACTTGGTCTTCCTTTTATAATTGTGCTTTGCAAAAATGTACTATATGACTGAGTCAGGTCTCTTAAATGAAGCCCCAAATCTACTACCACGGATTTCAGCTTTAATACATGCTCATTTGGACAAAAATGTTCAACCAAAACTTGTCTCTGTTGGCAAAAAGAAAAATCATAACCTCTTGCTTCCTTTCACACATCTTTCACACCAAAACATACATTAAAAATCGTCAGATAAAACCGCTAAATCCAACACTAAATTTATCAGAATATTAAAATGGATTGTATTTTACACATAAGAGAATTATACCTCAACATTCCTAAGCTCCACAAGAGAGGAAAATAAAACTGAAACTTTAGATGAGCATTTGGCAAATACAAATCTACGTTTATGGGTTGCAACAACCTCAGCTTTATTAAACCTCAAACTCCTTCAAACTAATTCCATGGAGACATAAACTAGATGTTAAATTACTAAATAATTCATTTTATCTTCAAAATTATAATTGAAGTAAAGTAAAACCAGGAAGAAAATCCAATGTGATACTGGTTTCACAGACAGACTTGATCTGACCCCCACCTCCTGCTGAATACAAACCATTTGAAATGCTCTGCTTTGTCTCATTCCGCTTAAACTGAGGATTAAAAAAACAAAACAAAAGTAGAACTCTAGCTAAATAAAGCCTATCACTTCTTTTTTTTTTAAATCATTTTATTGGGGGCTCGTACAATTCTTATCACAATCCATCCATCCATCCATTGTGTCAAGCACACTTGTACATTTGTTGCCATCATCATTCTCAAAATATTTGCTTTCTACTTGAGCCCTTGATATCACAGCTAGCCTGTCACTTCTTATCTAAATTTCTATCACACTAGTCTACCCACCCCTACCTCATAACACCTAAATAGTTATATTGCTTTCATACTAACATCCAAACCTCTATTCTCCATAAAGTAGCCAAGTGTTCATTTGAAAACATAAATCAAATCTTCTCATTGTCCTACATAAAAGCCTTAATGACTTTCAATTCATCTTATAAAAATAACTACAATATCCTACATGATCAGATCCCTGCCTATCTATCCCAGCCCATCTTTTCCCATGCTGGCCTTCTTCCTAAGGTTTCCCATCAGGACAAAATTGTTTTGGGCAAAACAATTCATTGTAAAGTGCTGTCTGGTATACAGCACTATTAGCAATGTCCCTAGCCACTAAATGCCATTGGTAGTACCCTCCTCACTTGTGAAAACTAAGTATGTCTATGGGCAGGCCATCCCTGCCTTACGGCCCTTCACTTCTCATTTCCTGTAACACAGTGTGAAATGCAAACCCCAATAACAAAGTTGTATCAGTGGCTCCTTTTCATCATCACCATCTCAGCTACACTGTTTGGCCTACATCCCTCTGACTATCTTACAGAAGGTGCACCCTCTTCCCATCCTATCCATAAGCCAGCACTAAGAACAAGAAGATCCAAAATTTGTGGTTGTTAGATGCCATCAATTCAGCTGCAACTCACAGCAACCCTCTATGCACAACAGAACAAAACACTGCCCAGTCCTGCACCATCCTTACAATCACTCTTACGTACGAACCTATTATTGTAGCCACTGTGTCCATCCATCTTACTGAAAGTCTTCTTTTACACTGACTCTCTACTGCCCCGAGCATGACCTCCTTCCCCAGGGCCTGGTCCCTTCTGATAATTTAATTTGCCTAAGATAATTTACACAAGATGAAGTCTCATCACCCTCCCTTCTGAGGAACATTCTCGCCATACTTTTTCTAACAGATTTGTTATATACTAAAACAAAACAAAACCAAAAGAAAAGCAGATGCTCAAAAAATACAGAAGTTTCCGGACCTAAAAGAAAAATCCTAATGTGGCAAGACCATGTTATTTAACATATGACGCTATGGCAGCACTTCAAAGTAATTTCCTACACTGGTAGCTCACACCACTCTAATGCATCTTTAATCCCTCCCGCTGGAAGGGTTGGTGGTATTTCTTCAGCTATGATGGTGGTACTGTTAGGCGCTGTCAAGTTCGCTCTGACTCACAATGACCTTGTATACAATCCTCAATGGCAGCACTGCCTGGGCTGCACATTCTCACAACTGTTCTTATGTTGGAGCTCCTGGCTGCAGCAATGTCACTCCATCTTGTTGAGGGTCTTCCTCTTCTTCGCTGCCTTTCTACTTTTCCAGGGACTGGTCTCTCATAATACTATGCTCCAAGTATAGAGATGAAGTCTCACCAGCCTTGCTTCTAAAAAGCATTCTGGATGTACTTCTTCCATGACACATCTGTTTATTCTCTTGGCAGGCCAGGATGCTTTCAGTATTCTTCAGCTACAGGCCTGCTCATCATTTCTTACCAGTACCCTCTTTCCCCTGGGACCAGAACTACTGCGAACAACACTGAACTGACTGGACTGCCCACAGCTGAAATAGCCACACCAAAAGGCACTCTGATTAGTCTCCTCATTCACACACAGCCCTATTCATCTCAGCAGACATTTACAATTTATCTTACTTTAAGTGGTTTCAAAAGACCAAAAATTTTGGTGAAAAAACAGGAAAAAACATGCCTTTTGGTTACGTCAAAAGCCGAAGGATACTGTGGAAGGAATCTAAGAGTTGACTCTAAATTTGAACATTATTTTTAGTGCTTTTATGTGAACTCGTACAATCCATTCAACACATGGTGAACTCTACGCTGAATAATCAGACTGTGCGAAATGGTCATCTGGAAAGTAACTGGTTGTTGAACTGTATTCATTCCCCCTCCGAGAAAGAGTAATTCAAAGATGTCTCAAGGGGTCATTCAGGTCCTTCTGAAGTTGCTTTTGATATTAGTACTTTAAATATATATTTCTTTTTAAATATATACACATTTCTTGAAAGCATGAACACAATGTTTTTAGAACTATCATGGCATTGCTCTGAATAAATAAAATGTATTTCTAGATTTTTAATCAAAATTGTTGACCTTAAAAAATATAATCCACCAGAGGAATGGTGGGAGAACTTGGAGAAGGGGTTCACGAGACTTCCCAGAGGGCTGGAGGATTATGAGGAAACGCCACCACATACCAGTTGTGCACCATCAGCTTCTGCACAGCGAGCAGAGCATTGTAGCGGACTTGCTGGTCTTCGTGATGCATGTGGTTCATTACCAGCTGCTTGCCCCCAAGTTGTTCAATAACCCTGTGGTACAGAGGAGACCTGGTAAGGATGCTTCAATCACTTTCAAACTCATGCTGGTAGTAATCAGAAAATTCACATACATGCCAAGTGATTTTAAAACTAAGAGTTACAATACAGATAAGTAAATCAACACATCTGTCTTTTTTACATCATTTTCTTTCATCACCATTAGAAATTGTTCAAATATTTTCTCTTTTAAGTTCCTAACTATAAATCCAACTGCTAGTCTCATTTTCTGATCCAGGAAAATGGTTTCCACCTGGAAACCTCACTGACCATAGAATTCAGGATTATGACGTTTCCTAGGGAGCTGCGTGCTAGCTTATTTATTATTATATCAGAAAATAAATATATTTTAAGTATATTGAGCATCATCTAATATCCATAATAATATAACAATAATACTAATTCCAACTGTAATCATGACACATGATAGATATATGCTTAAGGAGAAATATGCTTAACAGTGCCCAGCAGAAGCTATGCTAATTTCTTAAAAATGATTTTAGTTTAAGATAGCTGCCCTTATACTGATGGCGAATGCCACGTGGTCTCCTTGGCAGTGAAACCGAGGATACAATTCATATCACCAAGAGGGAAGTGATGACCAGTCCTGCTATCCACCCACCAAATCCTGAAAAGCCACTTAATGCAGAAACAGAGCAAATAGTTATTCGCTTCATAGACGGAAGGTTCTCTGTTCCGTGGAGGCATGGTTAGGGCTAGGGCTATGGCCCTTCTTAGTTCTAGCACAAAAGCAAGGTTTCTTTGTCCATTCTTTCTGGTAGCACTGTCTCGTAGATGATGCTAGTCGGTGGGGGACAAGTGAGATCTTAATACACTAGGGTACTCTGGTAGTTTAAGAAAACCTCATGGATTAGTAAAGGTTTCGTGGATAAGTAAGAAATTGGGTGGATGAGGGGAACCAATGACCCAAGTCCAAAGAACTGAAGTTAGATGACAACAAGCCAGACGCATGATCCAGATCCAGCAACAGGGAGAACTTGGCCAGAAAGGCCATGTATACTTGAAGCAGGCCACATCACCAGGGAAACTCCTTTTCAGCTGCTCAGCTGCTCAAAGCAGCTCTCGTTAGAAAGGGTAATTACATTATAACTACCAAAACGCTGATAATTGTGGCCTACCCGAAATGACACACAACCTTAGTGTTAATTTAACAGTACACCAGTAGTCAAATTTGCACCCATACACATCTCCTAACTCATACACCATAAAGTTTTACTCCTACCAAACATGAAACAACTAACATGAACAATCAAAAATACAATTTCCCACTTACATCAACAAAAGATTTAACACAGGAAGAAAGTCTCATAGCAATTGCAATCTTTGATTCTACACATGGTCACATGGTCATAGCTGGTACTTTGAGCAACTTTCCTTTACCATCTATTCTCTTCCCTTTGCCCTAAGGAAGCTCAGGTTCTTTGCCTGATGGGGTGACCAAAATGCTCACTATAGAAGGGTCTGGGCCATTACTGGCCATGTTGGAATTGGGCTGTTGTAGTTGTCCCTTGACTTTAATCACAGCGGTTGGTAGTACTAAGAGACATCTAAAGGACTGCATGTATTTCAGACACACTCTGTTTTACATCTATTATGTAATATAAATCTGATTTCCTCTTGGTAATCAGGATCAAACATAGCAGCCAATATAGTAACTCCCTTATTTGCCTGTTGATCTAGAAGCATGAGGAACTTGAAGTGGCCAGGTAACATTTTTAACTCTCTGTTAGTTCACTGGAATCAGCAGTGTGTCTCTTAAGTCTGAGTAGTTCTCCCTTTGGAATGAAGACCTCAAGCCCCACAAAGCACAGAGCCACAGGGACAGGAAGCAAACATTTTGTAAAAGAGCCCAATAAATCCCTGAGCCTGTCTGAAATTATTTTCCCAGTTCCAGTGTGCGCAATTGGATAGACCTACTCATCAACTGGCAGACAGTGGATCTATGACCCGTCGAGTAAGGGTTATTATGATTGAAAAAGTGGAACTCATTAAAAGTGCCTCTACCTAGGAAATAGTAAATCAAAAGCAATACTGCCTTCCTGGAGGGATTGCAGATTAGGGTCACCATCAAGCATCTGAAGGATGCAGAGAGTGATTCCCGGAACATCCCCATTTAATGCATCTATTTGGTCCGTGGAAAAAAACAACAACACATGGATCTTGGAGGATGACAATGGGTTGTTGTAAACCTAACCAAGTATTGACTCCGTTGTCGCTGCTACATCAGATGTGGCTTCATTGCTTGAGCAAATTAACATATCTCTTGGTCCTTGATCTGCAGCTAATGATCTGGTCCATGCCTTTTTCTCAATTTTGGTTTTGAAAGATCAACAGAAGTAGTGAGACTTCAGTGTGTGAGGTCAGAAAACACCTTTTCTGTCCTACCTCAATGGAATAACAACTTCTCCGTACTAGTTTAGTCAGCAGGCACCTTGATCATCTTTCCCTTCCACAAAAATGTCACCTGGCCTTATCACATTGCTTCATTAGGCTGATACGACCTAATTAGAAAGTAGGATCAATGACTCTAGACTTACTGTTAAGACATTTTTGTGTTGTTGTTTTGTTAGGTGCAGTCAAGTCGGTTTCGACTTACAGCTACTGTGTGTACAATAGGACAAACACGACCCAGTCCTGATAGAGAGGGGGAAATCAACCAAAAATCCAGGCACTGTCCACCTCAGTGAAATTTCTAAGTGTAGAGCATATGAAGATATTCCTGGTAAAGTGAAGAACAAGTTCTACAGTCGCTGCATCTGAGTCCAAAAGTGGGTTGCATATTACCCCGCTTCTACTCGATGCCTAGTGCCCCGTGTCATAGTGTTCTTCAATCCCACCAACTCAAGCACATGACCCATGTGACATGTCACAGCTCTTGCAAACTCTGCTGCAGATAAAACTGTCAGGATTTTGTAGTCATTGTGTTTTAACTATGCCTACAAAGCAGATACGAAAGGTAAAGACCAAAAATGATCTAGTCCACAGACTTGAGAAATTCCTCTGTTTGAAGGGCTAATATTTCTCTAATCATTTATATGAGCTGTATGATGTTTAAATACTTAAATGAAAAATCAAAGATGAAGTCTTCTTACACTATAGATTACTTAACCTATAATTAACAACTTTTGTCTCTGTCAGCTTTTCCTTACATTACAGGAAGTTTAGGGTTTATACATTATGATGTTGCTAAAGGAACACTACTGGTGCAGTGGGCAAGTTCAGGGTTGCTAACAGCAAGGTGATGGTTCTCCTTGTGAAAGAGAGATGAGCCTGTCTGTTTCTGTATAGCCTACCAATCCTCTGTAGGGTCATCATGAGTAGGAATCAACCCATGGCAGTAGGTTTGGTGTGGTTTGGGACTTGATAAATAAAATTGTTATATGCCTTCCTTATACACTACTTGGAAAAATATAAGATATGCATATTGATAATAAGTACAGGGAATACTATTGCTTTACACAGGGTCATTCTGAGTCAGATTCAACTTGATGGCACCTAACTACAACAATCTTAGTGCGCATGTACTCTGAACCTACCGGCACTGTTCAAAACACTGTACTTGAATAAACTCACTTAATCCTAAAGTCAATTTCATGAGGAAGGAATATAATTACCAACCCCATTTTATAGATTAGGAAACTTTAGAAAGTGAAATAGCAGCCCTTAATTGATACTGCACATTCCTATGGAAGGCCTTAACCTGTCTCCCCACACACTAAATTCCTTTTTCATAATACTGTCAAATATATCATTCCCTTGCTAAGTCACTATCATCTCTGGAACTTTCCTTTAGAGTGGTTATACTGTCTTCTACTCTTTGAACCTATTGGGGTCAATTGCTATGTATCATGGAGTCCGTTTTCACTCACAGTGAAAGAACTGTCCCCAAGCGTTCCCTAAGTTGTAATCTTGACAGGAACACCTTTCCAGGTCTTTCTCCCATAAAAACAGCTAGCTAGTTCAAATGCTGACCTTTTAGCTACCAGCATAGCTCTTCAACATCGGTTACTACACAGTCATATATGCGTACTTATATTTTTATACTGCTCATTTTAAACTAGGTTTATCATAAGACCTAGTACAATGATCACCTTAATGTCATCATTTCACTTGCTAAACTACTCATAGTTAAGTACATTATCTGGGTTTTCATGTTCAAAGTTTCAGAAACCCCCAAAATTCAAGCTTTCTCTCCTACCGTTTGCCCCGTGGGTAATGCCGCACATACTCTCCAACATCATGAGCTGCAACAGCTAAAACTTGCGGATCATCAGACACCTCCAGAAGTTTGGTTAAGATTCTGAAATAAAGTTAATCCAAAGAATTATCAATTTCTATAGAGGACAAAGAGCACACACAGAAGGCAGGTATCATCCTAAATTTAGATGATTATAAAATTATATATGTTAGCATATGCAACCTTTCGGACATATACAATGGGTTATCTTCAGATTTCCAACATATATTATGCATGAATCCCAAAATACTAACTCTCCCTCTATCACAGATAAAAGTTATTTCAATGTATGACCACCAGTCATTGTTAATGGTTTTAAGTAAATCATTTTTCAAACTTTAGCACTTTTTGTTATTAGAAACAAATTATCTTCAATGTTCTGTGACTAAATGTCCGGCTGAACTTGCCACAGATCTGCCACCTCTCTTGCTCCAAATCTCACCGAATACTGGAACTCATACTGTGCACAAAGAATTAAATCCCCAACAGCACCTGGATGTTTCTCAGAAGACAGTAGCCCAAACCCACCATTCTGAATCCCTTCTCCAACCGTTACTTCTGGATCAATCTGAAAACCATAATTAAACTACAGCTGTTGCCGGAGGGCACTTTAGGGCCAGTACCCAAGGACAAACTGCAGAAAGGGGTTGTCTCTTCTGGGCCTGAAGCCACAGCCACAAAAGTACACCTCCTTTCGACCTTCTAGGGAGTGAGTGTGTGTGTCGCTGAAAGGAGATGCAGAGGCCTCTGCTGCGCAGAATCCACACAGCTGGGGAAGGCTGCATTCCTCCTGCTTGCAAGTAAAAATAGTTTAAAGGAGTACATTCTACCTTATTTAAAGATTAAGAAGCACAGAAACCTATAGAAAATTGCCCATTTCACTATAAGGAGAACATAACTATGATAGCCAACAGAATGTGTCGTTTTTAAACGCCTGGGTAAAAGACAAAAATTTAACATTGCAAATACTTCCTAACATGCCCGCAATATCAGTGTCTTCGGAATAAAGTAGCTGTCATCAAGTTGTGTCGAGCTGTGCTCCACAGAGACGGCTGATTTCCATGCTTACTTTTCAAAAGCAGATAGGCGAGTCCTTCTTTGGGGGGACCTCTGTATAAACATGAACCTCCAATCTTTTTGTCAACAGTTTAGAATTTTAACATTTGGACCATCCAGAGGTTCTGACTTAGAAAGAGATAAATAAAAGCTTAAAGACTTAGCAACCTGAAGACAGTAATATCCTGGATTACACTATGCTGATAGAATTACTGTTTTTCAGATAGAAATGCCAAGATGGTTCAACATTAAAATGCATATCTTAATGTAATTTAATACATTTATAGATGGGGAGGGAATGAAGATATGATTATATTAATAAATGCTAATAATATATCTTTAAATAAAACTTAGTAAACTATTCCTGATAAAAAGTGTCAATAAATGAGAACCAGGAAGATAGGTTCTATCTTGCAAAGGGATTTACTATGAACCCAAAATCAAATTCAGAAATCAAAACTTAAAAAAACAAAAGATGTTTACTAAAATCTAACATGATGTTTGAGGTCTAGATGACACAAGAAAGAGATACATAAAATAAAGAGAAAAAACAACTGCTACTATTTCCAATCAATCTTACTACCTAGAAAATCAAAGACAATCAACTTATAAGATCACAAATTAACAAAATAAATAGTTGTATAAAAGATAAATTAATAAAAACAAGGACCTTCCTAATTCAGAAATAATTATCAATTAGCAAACAAAATAGAGGAAAGCAGGAATCTATAAAACATGTACTTCTTCCACGTAAGATCACTTTGTTCTTTTAGCAATACACGATACTTTCAATGTTCTCCTCAGGCACCACATGCCTATCTAAAGCACCCTTACTTCCTCGGTCATCTGTATTAAATGTCCGACTTCCACAAGCATATGAAGCAATGAAACACACACGGGTCAAACACACACTTTAGTGCTCAAAGTAACATCCTTGCTTTTCAATGCTCTAAAGAGGTCTTGGGCAGCAGATTTACCTAATGCAGTTCATCTTTTGATCTCCCGACTGCTGCTTCACTGAGTACTGATCGTGAATCCAAGCATGACAAAATTCTTGACACCTTCAACCTTTTCTCCATTCATCATGATGTTACCTGTTGGTCCAGTTGTGAGGATTTTGGTCTTCTTAACATTAAGTTGTAATCCTGCAATCCTTGACCTTCATCAGCAAGTGCTTCATATTCCTCCTGACTTTCAGCAAGTAACATTGCATCATTCACATATTGTTAATAAGCCTTCCTCCAATTCTGATGCCACATTTTTCATGTAATCTAGTTTCCCTATTTGTTCAACATGCACATTGAAAAAGTATGTTGAGAGGATACAACCCTGACACACACCTATGCTGATTTACACCATGCAGATTTCCCTTGCTATGCTCAAACAACTGTCTCTTGAATCCATATAAAAGTTCTACATGAGCACAGTGAAGTATTCTGGTACTGCCATTCTTCCCAAGGTTATCCATAGTTTGTTATGATCCACACAATCAAATGCTTTCATGCAGTCAGTAAGACACAAGTAAGCATCTTTCTGGGATTCTCTGCTTTCAGCCATGATCCAGCTGCTATCAGCAATGATAGCCCTTGTTCTATGTTCTCTTCGGAATCCACAGGAATGTCTGGCAGCTCCCAATCAATGTACTGTGCAACCATTGTTCCTCTTCAGCAAAATTTTATTGCAGGTGATATCAGTTATATTATTCAATAATTTTAGCATGCTGTTGGATCACCTTTCTTTGGAATGGGTACAAATATGGCTCTCTTCCAGTCAGTTGGCAAATTAGTTGTCTTCTAAATCTCCTGGCATAGATGGGTAAGTGCCTCCAGTGCTTCTTCAGCATGTTGACACATTTCCATTGGTTTTCCATCAATTCCTGGAGCCTTGTTTTTGGTTAATACCGGGGGCGACGGTGGCGATACCAGGAGGGAAGGGGGAGGTAGTAAGGGGGAATGGATCACAGGGAGCCGCGTATGGCCTCCTCTCTGGGGGACGGGCAGCAGCGGGGTGGGTGAGCGGAGGCGCGGGACAGTGTAATGTAAGATACAAAAATAATTTATAAACTATTAAGGGTGCATGGGGGAAAGGGGAGGAGGAAGGGAAGGGGGGGGGGAATGAGTGGATTCTGGGAACCCAAGAGGCAAGAGAATTTTGGGAATGATGAGGGCAACAAATGTATAGATGTGCTTTACACAATTGATCTATGTATTGTGATGAATTGTATGAGCCCCAATAAATTGATTAATTAAAAAAAAAATACCTTCAGTGCAGCTTGAATTTCTTCCTGAAGCACCACTGGTTTTTGCTCACATGCTACCTCCTGAAATGGTGAGATGGTGACTGATTCTTTTTGGTACAGTGACTCTAAGTCTACTCTTTCCGTCTTCTTTTGATGTTTCCTGCATCATTCAATATTTTTCCCACAGAATCTTTCAATATTGCAACTCGATGCTTGAATTTTTTCTTGAGTTCTTTCAGTTTAAAGTATGCTGGACATGTTCTTCCTTTTGGGTTTTCTAACTCTAGATCTTCACACATTTCACTATATATTCGAGTTTCTCTTCTTGATCTACCCTTTGAAATTTTCTATTCAGCTGTTGGACGTCATCATTGCTTCTATTTGCTTTAGTTACTTTACAATTAAGAGCAAGGTTCCTGACATGCACGCGATCTTTCCTCTTTCTCATCTTCTTAATGTCTGTCTGCTTCTTCAGGAATGGTGTGTGTGTTCGATGTCCTCCACAGCTCGGCAGGTCTCCTACCATCAGTGTTCATGCATCAAATCTGTTCTTGAGATGTTTTCGAAATTCAGGTGGGATAGATTCAAGGTTATATTTTGGCTCTCATAAAACTGTTTTAATTTTCTTCAGCTTTAACCTGAACCTACATATGAGCAATTGATAGTGTGTTTTTTATTAGTCATTAACAAAACTATAATGAGATGGCACTTTTTACCCACTAGGATAACTATGATCAGAAAAAAAGGAGGGGAGGCAGGGGTGACAACAATGCTAGTGAGGATATGGAGAAATTTAAATCCTTATCCACACCTGGTAGAAACATAAAATAGTACAGTCAGTTTTGAAGGCAGTTTGAAGTCCCTCAAAAAATATGATCCAGAAATGTCACCTGAGTACATACTAAAAAGAAATGGAAGCAGGAACACAAACACAATGTTCGCTATAGAACTTTTCACACTCACCAAAAGTGGAAACTAATTGTTCACCGACAAATGAATGAATAAGCAAAATTCCTTATGATGGAATACCACTCAGCTATAAGGAGAAATAAAATCCTGACGACTACTACAGTTGGGTCAACTCTGATACACGGTGTCAGAGTAGAACTGATAGGGTTTCAGGGGCTGTAAATCGTTAAAAAACAGACTGCTTCATTCCTGTGTGCCACTACTGTCCCGAGCCCAAGAAAACGAGTTGGTTCAAACCACAGCACTAGCAAGGCTCCTGAAATCGTGATACGTGCCACAATGTGAACAAACTGTAAATACAGGCTGAGTACATTTATCACACTATTCCGTTTTCCCCTGAAGTATTTAGGAATATGTAATATTTAGAGCACCCAAAGGTACAGAGACCAAATTTATTAGCAATTACCAGGGGCTGGACAGAGTTATTTCTTAGGGAGCAATGACCTTTGGTTAAGGATGACAGAATAATTCGGACAGTGATGATAATGTCACAACATGATAAATGTAATTAATATCTGGACCTCCACTCAAGTACTTACTCAATGCAAGAATACTTTATTCTATTAAATTGGCATCCCACGATGCACACTTTATCGACACAATCACTGAAGACAAATGTATGCATAAGCAAATGTGGTGAAGAAAGCTGATGGTGCCTGTCTATCAAAAGATATAGCGTCTGGGGTCTTAAAGGCTTGAAGGTAAACAAGCGGCCATCTAGCTCAGAAGTATCAAGGCCCACATGGAAGAAGCACACCAGCTTGCGTGATTGCAAGGTGTAGAAGGGACCAGGTATCAG